CCCCATGTTCCATCCCTCCCCTCCCCCACCCACCTACCCCACGTTCCTCCCTATATTCCCCAGCTTTTCATTTGTGACACGACGCGGTGGAATCAGGCGCTCGTCAATTCTTGGCCATGTAGAGCTATTGGTGTCATCTGAAAGCTGACTTGCTTTCCTTGCTTTCAAGGAAATAAATAAACATTACGGTGAATAGAACGTTAGATATTTGCGATTGAAAGAAGTGAGGTTGCTTGGTTTCTGTGGTGAAATTAGCGAGAAACTGGCAGCCAAAGTTTGGTAACTCCAATAGCTGAAGAGTCTTTGAAAACTGAAAAATGGCATATTTTGTGCCTTTTATCAATGTTTTTCAGTAAAATTCACATGGAAATGTGCGTTTATACGGGCCTAAAAGAGGTTATGCCCAAAAAATAAAAATTCAATAAAAAATGTCCAAACTGGTGGAAAAAAGCCTGTTTCTCAGATTTCGTTATTTTGTCGAGCGCCTGATTTCACCACACTGCCTCACATTTATATTTGAAGAGTGCCTGCATAGTAGAGCTGGGCGAAGAGTCGATTCCAGAATCGATTCCCACGATTAATGCTACGGAAGAAAAGTTCCGACTCCTTTTTACGTAAACCAACGGCTACCTTTTACTTTAATCGTTAAAATCCTTTTTTTAAGGATGTATTTTTGAAAATAAAAGTTGATGCTTCGTAGTGTTCCAAAATCAAGGTTATCCTAAATCCTGAAAATGTTCGGAGCCAACCGGGTAACCACCGGAAGAAATCACATCATTAGAAAGTAAGAAATTGGGTTCGGAGTCGATTCCTACGATTCCTAGCTTTCACCAATCTGGAACCTCGCCGCCCAGCACTACTGCAGAGAGGGTCGTATCCTTGACATAGACCTCGGAGCAAAAGTGCTATTTCAGCTGTATTGTTTTGTTTCGTTTTATTTTGCTTTGTTTCGATTTGTTTCGTTTTGTTGTTTTGTTGTTTTTTTCGGAGGTGGGTGCTTGTCGTTTTTGTTTTGTTTTTTCCTTTGTTTTGTTTTTTCCTTTGTTTTGTTTTTTCCTTTGTTTTGTTTTCAGCGCGACCTGTCATTAGTTTTGTTTTTTTCCTTTGCCCTTCCTCTATATAATAACGAGCCCCGCCTGGCAAGTAAACAGGACGAGTTCGTGAGCGGAGACTTTTGCACCGTGCGCTTCCAGCAGCAAACTCCGGGACTTGTGAGCGGCTACACACACTGCGAGGTGAGTGCTTGACTGTCACGTGCATCTCTCAGTCTCAGGCAGGACGGACAAATTCTTCTCCTTGATCTTCTTCTTCTTCTTGTTCCTCTTTCTCTCGTTCTTGTTCTTTTTCTTGTTCCTCTTTCTCTCGTTCTTGTTCTTTTTCTTGTTCCTCTTTCTCTCGTTCTTGTTCTTTTTCTTGTTTCTCTTTCTCTCGTTCTTGTTCTTTTTCTTGTTCTTCTTCTTGTTCTTGTCATTATTCTTGTTATTGTTCTTTGTTCTTGTTCTTCTTTTTTCATTCTTGTTCTTGTCCATGTCATTGTTCTTGTTCTTGTTCTTGTTCTTGTTCTTGTTCTTGTTAAACAAATGAAATTCAATCAAAGGGACGTCGTGTTTTTCAAAAGCAAGGAATCAGTTTACGCGTTTGAGAAATACAATACTGAGTTTTCATAATTTCAAACAATATCAAATTTTAATAATTTCAAACTATCGCGTAAAACATAAAACCTTGCACGTCCTGGGGTTATTTTGTACCCCTGGGGTTGTATTCATATTTTAGAATACTTCTAGCTCGAAGATCTCTTTGAACCTTTCAGTATTTCTCAAAAAATCATTTTGACAGACTTCTATGCAAAGCGTGCGGATCGGATTAACGAGTAAATTTCCTCTTTGGAAAGTGGTGGCACAGAGTTCCCCACGTCGTACGGATACAATAGTAAAACACGACGTACGGATAGGGATAAGTGGTGGCATAGAGTTCCCCACGTCGTATGGATACGATAGTAAAAAACGATGTACGGATAGGGTTAAAAGCGTTATTTTTACAGGGACGTGAATGACCGGTTCTGGTTTGTGGTCCAGGACGTCAAAACCATGGCCATAACATCGGTGGATAACTCATCATGCTGGGGATTGGGACGAAGTTTGGGGAGGCGAAGGCGAAGCGGAATTTGGGGAGGCGAAGTTTTTTTAGGAGGGGGGGGGGACCTAGTCTAGTGCCATTGTGGAGGCCTGGTTCCAGTACAGTTGGGTACACTCCACACACCAAGAGCAGTCCTTGTGTGGTTGCAAGAAAGTTGGGGTACAACTTAAAAACCGGAATCTTATAAATGAATGCTCACCGCATTTGCCCGGGTTGAACCACTGCATAATTTCATTTTTTTAAATATTTATTTTTGTTGTTGTTGGTTTTTTAAAAACCGAATAGTGTTTTACGGATTCAACCCACCAACAATGAAATAGTTCAAACCAAATGTTGAACATGAAGTCCAAAGAGATTACCCAGGAACAACATGCCCAGGGTTGTTTAAAACTCATATCGACAAAGATATTTGAGAGAATCGAGCAAGAGCACCAATTCAAGTATCTAGGGGACAAAGCCTGAAGAACAAAATAAGGTAGAAAAAATATACTATGTCCACTTAAAACGACACGAGACCTTTGTGAAAGAGGTGCTTGAGGGAAAGAGTTGGGACAGGAGAGCCAGAGGAAGGCAAAGAACAACATGGATGGACAACAAAAGAACATGGACTGGCCTGGATATGGCAGAATGTGCAACGGCAGCTCGCGACCGTGAAAGATAGAGGGTCATTACACGTTAACCTCTGAGTCAGAGATGACACTTTCAGGCGTCCAGGTATTCGAGTCTGTGTAGATTAAAATGGTCAACACCTGGAAATACAATTTAAAAAGCCACTACTTTCTCTGGGCTTTTTTGCACTATAAAAGTCATTTCAAATTTGTTAAATAATGCGTAAATACACGTTTTTGTTGATTCTTTGGGAGTATCAAAATGTTGCTTTACACCCACAATTTTGGTTGGAAATTTAAGAATTCCAGCACATATTAAAAATACTGATTTTCTTCATGTTGACAAATTTAGAGACCTTCTAGGTGAGTTTCATGTGTGCAATGTTTTTTTTTTATATTGCTCCAAAGATGATTGAGTTATTACCATTAAAAATGAGTCCTCTTTTTTCAAAACTCCTGGTATAAAAATGCGTTTAAAGAGTCAAAGTTTCAAAATTGCTGGGGGGTTTTCGGAGACCATTGTTTTACATTCATGCATTTCAACTTGAACTTTTACATTCTGTAAGCCTATTCCTTGCTTTTTCCAGGCAAGTTTATATGTTATTATTATTATTATTATTATTATTATTATTATTATTATTATTATTATTATTATTATTATTATTATTTTATATTATATATATATATATATATATATATATATATATATATATATATATATATATATATATATATATATATATATATATATGTATATATATATATATGTATCAAATATATGTCAACAATAGCTTCTTTTTAGACAGATAGTTTTCAGGCTGCGAGCATGCAATATATATATAATTATATATATATATATATAATATACAGATCCCAGACTGAAGACTTGGTGTATATTTTTATGAGAATACAGCTGCAGAAAGAGCAAAAAGATGTATCTTTTTTAGTTTAGTTTTAGTAGAGGTTTTACGGCGCTCGCAACTGCATAAGGTCATATGAGCGCCAGAAGATAAGAGGTGTTACAAGAGAGTAACAAACATAAAAAAGAAGAAGGGGAGATAAGGACGATAGATGTTTGATAGAAAAAAAGAAGCAAGCCACACCAGAGCACCTGCCAACCACCCACAAGATGTATCTGAATAATGAGGAAAACAAGACAAAACAATAACGTAATATCAGGCAAGTTGTTGCACTGATGTCTAGGAGTTAATGCAAGTTATATCATGCACACTTGAGTACAAAAATCCGAACCTGCTTCCCGCTCTTAGTTTAGTCTTTGGGTTGTATAAAAATTACGTGCAGAAAAGAGGGGTTTTTTGTAAAACGTATCATGGAATATTTTCATTTTAATCTTAAAAACAAAATAAGTAGGCCAACTGTCCAATAATTCTCTTGATTATGTCTAAATTATTTTTGTCCACTTTTTTATCATGTATGTCTCTCCTCTACAGACTTTCTGACAAAGCCACACACAGATCTTTGCAGCTAAGAACAACACATTGAGTTCTGGCAATGGGCACCACCGTGATGTCTGGTTATATACTTTTGGCAGCAACTGTGTTCCTGTCCTCCAGCGCTCTAGTTCTCAAAACAACGAATGACGAAGTGGCAGTTGGGAGAACGACCAACGTTTCCCTCGAATGTATCAACAATTATCCCCTACCGGACATTTCAGAGGTTATGATGGTGAGAATATTGAAAAAAGACCTTTCTGGATGGACCACAATTGCGGAACTTCGAGACGACGGAACCAAAGTATCGCCAAAACATAACGACCTGCTAGCTGAGGGCAAGATCTCCCAAAGTTTCCTACGACTAACGTGGCCTGTGGCGACTAACGATACCGTTGGCAGGTATCGATGTGACGCTATCAGCCTGACCGCCCAGACGGGGGTGAGCTGGCAGAAGAGCCTGCCGACCTCCGTCTACCGGAAGAGGGAGGTCACTCTGCAGATGTTGAGTCAGATGGTGGAAGAGAACAAGGAGGAGTACCTCCAGCGACTGCGCTCTCAGAGACAGAGCATCATGGAGGACGTCACAGCCACTGCCGCGCACAACAAGAGGGACTGGCTGCTGCACACAGACCACATTCTCCACAACGTGACGGCCAAGCTGGAAGCTCTCGAGGCAAGAGTTCAGAGCGAGTGGGACAGCCAGCTACAGGTGAGCTTCTCTTTATAGTTTTTCTCTTGTTTTTGTTTTGCGTGTTTTTGCTATACGTTTTACAGCACTTGAGACACAAACAGGTCATCATATTATTCTAAGTCCTGACGATTCGAAGGGATACTAGATAGTGACACGCAAAGAAAAGAAGAGGGAGAGATAACAACGATGGGAAAAAAGGAGCGAACCAAAGCAGAGCGCCCGCCAACCACTCCCGGAATCTCTCTGAGTATTGCGCCTCACTATTGAGGACAGATGGTTTGAAAGACCGTGGTTTCCTAGTCCTCTCTCGTGACGAGGAAACAACATTCCATGTAGGAGGAAGAGGAAGAGGAAAAAGTGGAGGAAAAGGAAGAGGAGAAAGAGGGGAAGGAGGAGGAGATGGAGATTGGGGGGGGGTGGAGAAGGAACGTGAGGAAGAGGAAGAGGAAGAGGAGGGGGGACCACAATGAGGATAAGAATGGGGGCGGAGGAGAAAGAAGAGGAGGGGGGGGGGACCACAATGAGGATAAGAATGGGGACGGAGGAGAAAGAAGAGGAGGGGAGGACGAGGGTAAGGAGGAAGTAAGGTGGGGTACTTTCAGCCAAACTTGAATCTCACAAACCATCTTTCATTCTTTAACTCTCGATGTGAGAGGAGGGAGAGGGGGTTGGGTGGAGGGGGGAGAGGGGGAAGAGAGATCACGTATTATTATCGCTACCAGCTAAAACACCACGACATGTCATTTCCCATCAATAGAAACAGCAGTGGTCAGAACATTGCAAGGACGACCAAGAAAACAGACGCGTTTTTTTCCTTTAATGTGGGAGTTTTCATGTAGCTCATGGACACACTTTAGAACGTTTAGGAGGCGGGCTGCCAGCCCTGACTGTCAGGGCCAACACGAGCTGAGAGGGGTACGTGAAGCAGCGTGCTGGTGAAATGGTATGGGTTTTACGCCCCTATCAACACTATTAGGTTATTTAAGGGGCGGGACCTCCTAGTTTAACGTCCGTCTCCGATAGGACCCAACCAGGTGGGAAGTTCGTGTAAAGTGCCTTTCCGAAGGACACAACGTCGGACCGAGCTGAGGCTCGAACCCCCGAACCCGCAGTCTCACGATTACGAGTCCGGTAGCCTAACCACTAGGCTACTGACGCCACTCTGCAGCGTGGTGGAATCAGGCTCTCGTCAATTTTGGGGCATGTAGAGTTATTGGTATCATCGTAAAGCTTGTTCACTTGTGTTTATTTGGATGAAAAAAATATCCTTTTATCTTGAATACAAGTGGAGATATTTGCGAATGAAGGAGGTGGGTGTCACCTGTTTTCAGAGGTAAAATTAGTGAGAAAATCGCCGCCAAAGATTAGTTATTTCCTTAGCTTAAGAGTCCGTGGTAACTGAAAATTTACATTTTTTGGGCCTTTATTCAACGTTTTTCAGAAAATACCACACAGAAATGAGTTCTTTAATGGGCATGGAAGGTGTCGAGCCAAAAAGCAAAAATTCGATTAAAATTCACAAACATGCGGAAAAATGCAAGTTTCTTCACTTTGATTATTTTGACGAGAGCCTGATTCCAACACGCTGCCTCACATACAGTATCCCAAGAGAAAAAACAGAGACACTCGATAAAATATTATCTCTCAACTTGGGAATCGAACTTGGGTCTCCTGCGTGCGACAGGGAAGTACCTAACCGCCCCATCACAAACACAAACACAGGTAGATGGAAGCTAAACCTGCGACTAATTTGGTCTGTACCGACTGATAATTCTTGCGACCTGCACTGTTGTGATGTTTCGAATTAATTTTCATCCCAAGAGAATGAAATGTAAGAAGATAACAAGCCTATTTGCTTTACTTTACTTTTATCCGCCGCTTATACTTAGACCCTTTTGGGTGTCGCGGGAAGAAAGAGACGTCTCTCTGCCACCTGCAGGAGAACTTGGGTCAGGGGGATTCCGTGAGTCGTTAGAGTTTCTTGGACTCCATCTATCCAGGTCTTTCTCGGTCGCCCTCTAGCCTTGTTGCCATCGAATTTTTTAAAATGTATACAGTGGCCGGTCATTCTTGTCATTTCTGGAGTCGTGGGGCTATTGCTTAAAATATGAATTTCAATTTTATTTTATTTTATTTTATTTTATTTTGGTTTATTTTTGGTTTATTTACTTATTTGGTTTAGTTTGTCGTTTTAGTAATTAATTAATTAATTTTAACCTGTTTTGTTTATTTATTTATTTATTTATTTGGTTTCCTTTGTCGTTCTAGTAATTATTTAAATAATTAATTTTGTTCTGTTTTGTTTATTCAATTATTTGTTTATTTATTCATTATTTATTTTTTACTTGAGCGGGGGGCGGGTTATGCAGTCGAACCTGCTCCAATGGTCATCTGTCCACAAGACAAACGACAAACGACCATTTCGCACCACCCTTCTTTTTTTCAAAATATAATGTGATCACACTGTCAAAAAGTCCACTAGTCTAAGAAAACATTCTCCCCCCCCCCCCCCATGACTATGGGAGGCCACCTCGAACCATTTCAGCTGCACTTTAATCTTACGATAACAATATTAATCGTATTGTGTGACGTCACTTTACAGGTGCTGAGCCACACAGTAGAGCAGAAGACGAGGCAATGTCCTGACCAACCACTCTCGCAGATACGTCAGACCCTAGAACACGTGGCGGCCATCATGGATCAAGACAAACAAGAATTTCTACAACAAAAAGAAGACATCCTTGAAAATGTGACGGCCACGGTTGAGCAGAGCATAAGAGAATTTCTGCAACAGAAAGATGATCTTCTTGAAAGTATCTCAGCGACCTTTGAGAAGGACAGAAAAACTTTTCTACAACAAAAAGAAGACATCCTTGAAAATGTGACGGCCACGGTTGAGCAGAGCATAAGAGAATTTCTGCAACAGAAAGATGATCTTCTTGAAAGTATCTCAGCGACCTTTGAGAAGGACAGAAAAACTTTTCTACAACAAAAAGAAGACATTCTTGAAAGTGCCACAGCAACGCAGAGAGAACTTCAACAACAGAAAGATAACATGCTTGAAAGTATCAAAGAGATCTTTGAGGTGGAGAGGAAAACATTTCTACAACAAAAAGAAGACATTCTTGAAAGTGCCACAGCAACGCAGAGAAAATGTCACCAGCAGAAAGATGACATCCTTGAGAACGTCACAGCGAAAGTCCGGGCCCTTGAAGCAACTTTCCAGACCGAGCTGAACGCTGTGAAGGACCAGATAAAGGTGAGAACATCTCAACAGTTTTTGATCTCCAATATTGACGAGTGTACATTATTTACTCAGGACCTGTTTGTTCGGGAGTAGACAGAAAAAGGGCGGCATCCTGGTGAAATCAGGCGCTTGTTAAAATAACAGAATCGAAAAAACCGACATTTTGCCCACTTGTTAGGCATTAAAAAAAATAAACAAGATTTTGGGATCAGCATCTTTTATAAGCACTTGAAAACTCAGCTATGTATTGATGTTTTAAAATTGAAAACCATTGATCAAATGCACACAAAGTAAGCGCGGTGGAATCAGGCTCTCGTCAAAATAATCAAAGTGAAGAAACTTGCTTTTTTCTTTTGGTTTGTGAATGTTTATCAAATGTTTGTTTTTTGGCTCAACACCTTTCATGCCCATTCAAGAAGTCAGTTCTGTGTGGATTTGTCTTAAAAACGTTGATTAAAGGCACAAAAAAATGTAAATTTTCAGTTACCACTGACTCTTAAGCTAAGGAAATAACTAATCTTTGGCAACCATTTTCTCACTAATTTTACCTCTGAAAACAGGTGACCCCCACCTTCTTCATTCGCAAATATCTCGACTTGTATTCAAGATAAAAGGATATTTTTTTCATCCAAATAAACACAAGTGAACAAGCTTTACGATGATACCAATAACTCTACATGCCCAAAAAGTGACGAGAGCCTGATTCCAGCACGCTGCCTCACATTATTTTCAGTTTCCAAGGACACTCCAACTTTGAAAGCTGTCAAACTTGGGCGATCATTCTCTTGCTTATTATCCCTCTGACACCAAGCTACCCCCCGTCTTCTTCAGTAGCCAATAGCACGACTGGGGAATTAATTGAGTGACAAACTGAGAAATGCAGTGGATGATAACTGGGAAATTGACTGACTGATAAACTGGGAATTAACTTTGTGGCTAATTGGGACATTGACTGAGTGATAAAGTAGGAAATTAACTGAATAAATTATAAACTGGGAAATTAGTTGAGTGATTAATTTTAAAAACTTACTGAATTTTAAATCGAGAAATTGACTGAGTTATGGCTAGGAAATGAACTGAGTAATAAATTGAGAAACTGACTGAGTGATAAATAGGGAAATTCACGTTGTGATAAACTCGGAAATGGATTGAGGGATAAACAGGGAAATGGACTGAGTGATAACTGATACATTAATCGAGTGATAAACTGAAAATTTGAATGAAAGATAAATAGATAAATTGACTGAGCTATAAAATGGTAAATTGATTACCCCGATTGATTGGCAACTCAAGTTCTTGATTCTGGTCTCCACACACCCCTCCCCCCC